AGTTTTGAATAGAAATTGGGTCCTGGAAATCTATTATGGTAAGGAAATTGTTATGGTTTTTTCACAGTAAGTAACAAACATTTGGATGATTCTTGTGTTACATCCCCTCGCCCCCTAAACAGAATAGTGAAATACATCACTTTATTGTGTTAAGTGTTCAAAAACTTGACTCCATTTCCTTCATGATAAATCATGGGAAACACTATCAGTTTGCTGCTTTGACTTTATTTTAATGAATTGTGAAGTCATTTTCATTTTACCTGCAAAATTCATTCTTCTGCAGATATTTTTTCCCTTTTCAATCATGGATTTACCGACTTTAATGGATGTCACAGTCATTTGTTTTCCCTTGCAATATTCTTCTCTTATAACATGGATTTGCATAACTCATTGTGCTTCACTGTATTTTCTGAATTTCTTGCTTGTGTTACTTAAAAAGGAGTATACAATATATTTTCTTACAGCAGGAGGCATTAACTTTCATGAGAAATCACAATTGTTACCACATCATCCATAAGTACTCTGAAAGCTACCACTTTCAGAAAATTTAAATAAAAGTCAAAGAACTGATTTTTTTTAATAGTGATTAGCATATAAATCAAAAGAATCATTTCAGAATAGGACAAACTTCCAGGGCATGACATGTAAGAGTTTACTAATAATTATTATAAAAATGCAGGGAGTCTGTTATAAATGGAGCATTCTTTATTAGATCTGTGCCACAATTATGTTTGAAACATGTTTCAGGGTAATGACAATAACACATTTACCATCACTTTGCCCCGATGCATGTACCTTCTCTGTTACATAGTGCTCTACCAGCCAAACAATAAAGAAAGCTCTTTGTATGTAGAATTTCGCTTTCTTGTGAGAAAATTTTTATGTCCTTAAGAGCTCAGAGAAGGTCAGAACTTACAGTTCTATCCCAACAGCACGTTAGTGATCATCAAAAGAAATAAATCTCTAACTGTTGGTAGCTTCTACAGAAATGTCTTTTATCCTGCACCTGTGAAAATTACCCTGTGTTAGTGAAGCCAGCAAGAGTCAGGCCATAGGTCAAGGGTCAGGGCACTGTCAAGAGGAAATTATTCTTCAGTCCACTAAGTCTTATCATTTTCATCTAATGTGATATCTACCTGTCAGTCAGAGAACGTAGGCTATTGTCTTGTTTTAAGTGCTGTGCTTTCAGTCTCAAAGAGAGCGTATTTTATTACTTCTTTATAATTACCATTTTTTATCTTTAAAATCTTATCTTCCAGGTAAACACACTGAACTGATAAACCATCTCAAAGACTTAATATTTTTATGCTAAAATTATAACAAGAAGTGATACTAAAAACAGGGTTCAGGTATTAATGTTGGTTTGATTGATTGAATGGTTATATTATGAATTGAGTTTAAAAAAAGAGTTAACTAAATGAATAATGAAATGACTAGCAGTGGATAAATAATGAATGGCAGAATAGCTTGACAACTTTATGTGTGCCTAAGTGAGTGTATTCCTACATGATGGCACGCTCACCCCGGATGTTACGGACTAGTACAACATCCTCCTAGCAAGTAGGTTTCTAGGATATAATGAAACATGTTCTGAAAAATATTTTCATAATGCACTTCAGTTAAGTATACACAGTTGGAATCTGCTTTTGCTATACTTGTATATAATGAAATTCAATTTCTAATGCAGTATAGTGAAAGACTCAGTTATTTCAGTGTAATGCAGTATGCAAATTTCAATTCCCCTTGTCATGAGATTCAACTCACAAGAAAAATTTGTGTTAGTCTTCCAAAAATCAACAAAAAATATATCTCAAAGCTTTAAAAAGCAGGTTACAAGTGACTAAGTTGGGCCATTTAGACCTTCTCTCTCATTGCAAGGAGAATAAATCACAAATATGTGTTATGCTATCCTTTGTATCCAGAGAAATCTAAAGCATATCGCTAGCATTTTATATCTTTTCCTTCAGGCAGTTCCCATAAGAATAACATAGTGGAATGAAGAGGTATAGAAGGGAACTCAAGGAGCCATATGCTTTTGCTTAAAATCTGCTATTATCCTGCTGAGTAGCATGAGCCTCAGTTTCCTCAGCTGTCAAATGGGAGTAAGAGTGTTATTCTCAATTCTATGAATTTTTAAAGTCTTAACAGTATCTTTTTCCATCATTTTTAAGAGTTAGAAACCTTTCTTCTGTGCTCCTTACAAAGAGTTTTGTCTTAGTTCCTGATAAAGGCAAATATGTTTCACCCACGCGGCCTTAATCTTGAGGACAGGAATTTACCTTCTTCATTTTTTTTTTTACCTAATTACTTAGCAAAATATCTGTTGAATTAATAAATGAAGAAATAATTCATAGGGTAACTATATATTCTACTTTCTGCCTATTTTGCCTTTATGCCTTTATGCCTGTTTAATTATTAATAGGCCTCATTCACTTTCAAGCATATCCCAGTTTGGATGACAAATATATGGTATTCACCATTTCCTTAACAGAAGAAGAAACTACTAATATCACCAATTTATTTGAGATCAATTAATGTCACTTAGATTTCTCTTTTCTTTACAAAATAACTCTAATTTGTCTACCTTTCTCTATCACCTGTTTGTTTTAAGGTTTAGAGATTAATTTAGTGAACAACTGAAGCCATATATTTGGGCTTTACACTATTGCTATCCACTATTTAAATCACTCTGCTTCAAAGACAATTCCAAGTTCCTTACACATTTAAGGTTATAGAGTTCTAATAAATATAGACATATTTGTAAATGGATCCCCCAGATTGCATCTAAAGGTCTCATATTTTAGTAAGTATTATCTTAGGTAACCAACCCTCTGTGTTATTTGTCATATTTACACATAAAAACTATCTATTAATGTATCTCCTGAAGAAAATAACCTTCTACTAATAAACAGAAATAAACAATATGTTTCAACAGATCTTGTCTTAGAAAATACTAATTTTGTAAACAGGACACATTTGAGAGGGCAAGGATGGGATAATATGTTTTGTCTTTGTGATAATAACTGTTATAATAAATGAGACCTTAAAATATAAAGCATAAAGTTCAAAAATTGATATATTTGGGCCTTGTGTCTATATATAGATAAATGTTAGGAACATGACAATTTGTGATGCCAGCATGAACATTGATTTTCCTAAGAAGACATGTCCAAATTCAACCACCTTTTTGTCCAGCCGTGACATGTTTTTCAAACAATCCGCTCACTTCTTTAAACATTCTATATGCTGATACATCAAAAGCTCTCACAAAAGCCTTGATGTAAAAACAAATCTAAACAGAGGGGGAAAAATACATGGTTTTGCAAAATATAACTGTTAGCTTATAAAGAAAATAACATTTTCAACATTTTATATTTCCAGTTGAAATAAGAACCTATAATACTGCTACTAGTTCCATGTAGTCAATGTGTGTAACTCGATTTTTGCCTTTTGAGGTAACATGGAAGCAAATATTCTCAGATATCAACAGAGAAATTGAGCTGATTCAGACACTAGGAGAGCCAGCTACCTTCTGTTTTATTTTAGCTTTCTTGTTTTATCTTCTTCGTATCATATCTAAGTAAAATTAGAGGGAAATGTCAGAAGAAACTTACAGGTGGGTCATGGCAATCACTTCTGATCAGCCACCAGCTGAATCACCAAACTACAGTTATTGCTCTTAGTAAGCATATCATTGGCAAAATGGAAAGGGAAAAATAAGAGCGGACCCTGGAAATGTTCAATGATTTCTAAATCTTTAACATAATTACATTTTTAACCTTGTTTCAGGTCAAAAATAAGACTGGTTGAGATGAGCAAAGATAGACAAGTAAAAATAGCGTTGATGACACTTCCTAGATTTCTCAAGTTGTCATAAGTTCTTTTAGCATCTTTCTATGATCACTCATAATCAAACCTGGATTCAACTGTTTCCAAAAAGTTAGGAAAGCCAATAACAACAAAGAAAAATATGAAGGAAACAACTGTGCCTGTCTCTATGCCTGAGTTATGTACAGTTAAGAAAAAAATACAATCTTTTCTAAACAAGGACCTGAATAATTTCTGTGAAAAGCAAATGTATTCCTTGATCTCCCTCTCCACATTAAATATCTAATAAACTCTCTTTCCTCAATACGAAGAATTACTGAAATCCACCCAAAATAGCCTTAATTAAATACATGGAGATACATCTCAAAATCAGTTCAGCTGAGCATGAAAGTAATAAAAGTAGAAACTTGATGACTTTAGCTTGAATATTCTCTAAAGAATTAATTCAGAAGTATTCTAGTAGAGGGGGAAATGTCTGAAATGGAGTCTGTTGTGATCGCTCACAAATTTTGATTCCTCTACGTTTGTTGATGCAGGTGCTCTGATGCCTTTTACTATTGAGATTCTTAGTTGTGAAACATTTTTTGCTTTATATGTCTTCAGGATCCAGGTTGCTTTTTAGTGAAATTATTTATTTTGAGATAATTGTATATTCACATGCAATTGAAAGAAATAGTACAGAGAGGTTCTATTCCCTGTTTTCCCCAATGCTAACATTTTGCAAAACTACAGTACAATATCACAACCAGGATGTTTACGTTGACACTGTTAAGATACGGAATATTTCTATCACCACAAGGATCCCTCCTGCTGCCAAATATAACCACAAGCACTTCCTCCCACTTCTACCCTCTCCTTTATTGCCAACCACTAATGTATTCTCTATTTTATAATTTTGCCATTTTGATAATGTTAATAAATTGAGTTATAAAGTATGTTACTTTTTAGAATGTTTTCATCCAGCAAAATTATGTGGAGAGTCATCCAGGTTATGGCATGTATTCATATTTCCTTCCTTTTTATTGCTGAGTAGTATCCCATGTTTGTTTAATCAATCACCTGTTAAAGGATGTCTGGGCAATTTCCAGTTTAGAGAGATTATAAATATAACTGCTCTGAACATTTATGCACAGTTTTTAAATTCTTTTTTTTCCTTTCTTTTCTTTTTTTTTTAGGGGAAAGTGCGAATGCAGTCCCCCACTGCCACAAATTATGCAGTCGAGTTTCCCGGGGAAATCGCAGGGGTCAGCACATCCGGAGTGCAATGGATAAGCCTCGTCCTGGGAAAACTGCCTTCGTGATCATGGTACCTCCCCTGCCAGGTAAGTATGCACAGGTTTTTGGGTGAATATAAGTCTTCATTTCTCTGATATAAATGCCCAGGAGTGCAATTGACAGTTAATATGGTAGTTGTATGTTTAGTTCTTTAACTGCCAGACTGTTTTCCAGAGTGTCTGTACCATTTCATATTCCCACCAGCAATATATGAATTATCCAGTTTCTCTGCAGCCTTGTTAACATTCGGTCTTGTCACTCTTTTATATTTTAGTAATTCTGAGAGGTTTATATGATATCTTGTATATTTTTCCACTAATAAACTTGATTTCTTAGAGAAGTTTTAGGTTCACAGAGAAAATAAGAAAGTTCAGAGAATTTCCATATATTTCCTATCCCCTCACATGTACAACCTCCCCCACTATTGATATTCTACATCACAGTGAAATATTTGTTACAGTCAATGAACCTACATTGACACATTGCTATCACTCGGAGTCCAGAGTTTACATTGGGGTTTACTCCTGGTGTTGGACAAAAGTATAGTAACAAAAGTATAAAGAATGCATTCACCATTGGTGTTGTACAAAAGTATAGTAACACAAATATAATGACATGCATTATCACTTTATAATTTCACTGCCCTAAAAATTCTCTGTGCTCCATTTATTTCTCCACCCCACCTCTTAACCCTTGTCAGCCATGGAAATTTTTACTGTCTCCATAGTTATGATTTCTCCAGAATGTCTTATAATTGGAATCACAAAGTATATAAACCTTTCAGTTTAGCTTCTTTTACTTACTAATATACATTTAGGTTTCCTCTATGTCTTGTCAGGACTTGATAGCCCATTTCCTTTTAGTGCTGAGTAATATTCCACTGTCTAGATGTACCACAATTTCACCTACTGAGAGACATGGTCGCTTCCAAGTTCTGGCAATTGCTGATAAAGCTGCTATAAAAAATGCAAGTACAGATTTTTGTGTGGACATAAGGTTTTTTAATTCATTTGGTTAAATACCAAGGAACACAATTTCTGGATCATATGTTAAAAGTATGTTTACCTTTCTAAGAAACTGCCTGTCTTGGGAGGCTGAGGCAGGGGAATTGCTTGAACCTGGGAGGTAGAGGCTGCGGTGAGACAAGATTGCACCACTGCACCCCAGCCTGGTGACACAGCAAGACTATGTTTCAAAAAGAAAAGAAAGAAAAGAAAAGAAAAGAAAAGAAAAGAAAAGAAAAGAAAAGAAAAGAAAAGAAAAAAGAAAGAAGGGAGGGAGGGAGGGAGGGAGGGAGGGAGGAAGGAAGGAAGGAAGGAAGGAAGGAAGGAAGGAAGGAAGGAAGGAAGGAAGGAAGGAAAGAGAGAAAAGGAAATACCAGTCTTCCAAAATGACAACACTATTTTTGTACTCCTATCAACAATGAATTAGAATCATTTTTGCTCTACATTCTCACCAGCATTTGATGTTGTCAGTGATATGAATTTTGGCCATTTTAATATATGTGTAGTGATATTACATTGTTTTAATTTGTATTTTTCTTATGACATATGTTGAACATCTTGTCATATCTATCTGTACATCTTATTTGGTAAGAGTTCATTCTGGGTGCTGTCTTTTGCCCTTTTCTTTTTTTCATTTTTTTTTCCTAGTTTCCCTCTTGTTGCCCAGGCTGGAGTGCAATGGCACGATCTCAGCTCACTGCACACCTCCACCTCTCAGGTTCAAGCTATTCTCCTGCCTCAGGCTCCCAAGTAGCTGGGACAAAGCCTACTTAGTCATAGTGTATAACTTCTTTTATACAATGGTGAATTCCATTTGCTGAAAATTCCCTTTTCAAAAATTGCTTGGGCATCTTTGAGGGAGTCTATTTCTGGGTTCCCTATTCTGGTCTATTGATCTATGTGACTGTCCCTCCACCAATACCGCACAGGCTTAGATTATTGTGGCATTATAATAAGAAGAATATAAGAATAAGAATTGTATTTTTATTCTTATTTTCAAAATTGCTTTACCTAGTCTAGTTTTTTTTCTTTTTTTTTTTAATTTCCATATAGACTTATACCAGTATTATTTATATCTACCAAAGGTATCACTGGGATAGTGATAGGAGTTGGATTAAACCTGCATATTAGTTTGAGGAGAATTGACACCTATACTCTTTGATTTTCCCAATACACAAACACAGTACATCCCTCCATTTATTTAGATTTTCTTGATTTCAGCTGTCAGTGTTTTGCAGTCTTCTTCATACAAGTTTTATAAATGTTTTATTAGATTTATACTTAACCATTTTATTTTGAGTGAATTTAAGTGATACTGTATTTTTAATTTTGATACCCTCATATTCATTACTAGCATTTAGAAATACAATTGATTTTTACATATTTAACTTATACTCAACATGCTGAACTTAATTACCAGGTTTATAAAAGTGGTTTTTCGTAGCTTCTTTGGAATTTTCTAGGTAGACAATCATGTCATTGGCAAATGGGACAGTCTTATTTCTTTATTTCTGATCTGTATTTTAACTTTTTCTAGCACTTTGTGAAATAAGAGTGGTGAGAGCAGACACGCTTGTTTCCCAGTCTTTGAGAGAAAGCATCCAGTCTTTAACCATTAAGTATAAGGTTAGCTGAAAGTATTTTGTAGATGCTGTTTATCAAGTCTGGGAAGTTTAGCCTCATTTCCCAGAATTCTCAGAGTTTTCATCACAAATGGGTATTAAATTCTGTTAAATCCTTCTTAAGAACCAATTGCCATGATCGTGTGATTGTTCCTCTTTACCTCTTAATATGGGAAAGATTATACTGATTGACTTTTTGATATTGAACTAGTTTTGCATCACTGGGATAAAGCCTACTTAGCCATAGTGTATAACTTCTTTTATACAATGGTGAATTCCATTTACTGATACAATCATATGTCACTTAGTGACAGACATATATTCTGAAAAAATGTGATATTAAGAAATTTGGTTGTGCAAACATCATAGAGCCTATGTACACAACTAGATAATGAAGTCTCCTACACATCTAGACTATATGGTATAGCCTATTGCTCCTAGGCCACAAACCTCTATAGCATGTTACTGTGCAGAATACTGTAGGCAATTACAGCATATGCTAAGTATTGGTGTTTCAAAACATAGAAAAGGTAAAGTAAAAATTTGGTACTATAAACTTATGGGATGACTGTCGTATATGCAGTCTGTTGTTCACTGAAACATTGCTGTGCATAACATAACTGTATTTTATTAACGAGTTTTGTATTTATATTCATGAGGGATATTAGTGTCTAGTTTTCTACTTTTGTAATGGAGATATTAGCTTCAAAAATGAATTGAGAAGTATTCTCTTTGCTTTTCTGAAAGAAATTATATAATAGCAGTATTAGCAATTCTTTAAACATTTGGTAGAATTCTCCAGTGAAACCATCTGGGCCTGAAAAATTGCTTTATCAATTATAAATCTGATTTCCTTATTAGTTATAGGATTATTTACATTTTCAGTTTCATGTTTGATAAGTTATGGCAGTTTGCATTTTTTGAGAAATTAGTCCATTTCATCTAAATTGCCAAACATATATGTATCGAATTTTTGTAGCATTCCCTGATTATTCATTTGATATACATAGGATCTGTAGTGATGTTCCTGTCTCATTTCTGATATTGGTGATTTGTGTTGTCTCTCTTTTTTTTTTGTTGCCTTACTAGAGGTTTTAACTGTGATAACATTTGCAAACAACCAGTTCTTTATTTCAAGAATAGGTCTCTACTGTTTTTACTTCAATTTCATTGATTTCCACTCTTTATTTTTCCTTTCTTTTTTCTTTTCTTCCACTTGCTTTGTGTTTGTTTTTATCTCCACTGTTATATTCCTGGCTGAATGGTTGGAGTCCTTCATTACTAACAGATGGGAGAAAAAGGATGGAAAGATCTGACTAGGAGCAGGTGTATTAGTTCATTTTCATACTGCTAATAAAGACATACCTGAGACTGAGTAATATGTAACGGAAAAGAGATTTAATGGGCTCACAGTACCATGTGGCTGGGGAGGCCTGACAATCATAGCAGAAGGTGAAGAGCATGTCTTACACTGTGGAAGATCAGCGAGAATAAGAACGAAGTGAAAGGGGTTTCCCCTTATAAGATCATCAGATCTCATGAGACTTATTCACTATCATGAGAACAGCCCAAGAAGACGCCACCCCTTAATTCAATTACCTCCCACTGGGTCCCTCCCACAAGACATGGGAATTATAGAAGCTACAATTTAAGATGAGATTTGTGTGGAGACACAGCCAAACCATATGAGGGGGATTGCCCTGGTACCTCATTAAGGCAAAGTAAGCTTTCCAAGTGGTATCTACTGACATCATAGGGCGAGGTACAAACCAGGTTGGGGAAGTGGGCTCATTACTGCCTGAGGGGAAGAGAACAAAAGTCTCAGCTCCCTACTGAGCCTTTTCTGATACCATTTTAGCAAGGGATTCCAAGTGCCTCATTGCAGCCTAGAGTGAGTGGCAGTCTAGGCTCTTAGTTCAGGCTTTGCTGGTATGGGTAGGGTGGGGCCACAGTTTTATTCTGCTGTGTTTTGGCTGATGTAAAGCAGTTATTGCCTATAGGTTCCAGTCTTGCTAAACTCCCCAGTCTCGAACAAGGACAGGCTTTTTTATTGGAGCTTTTTACATCTGCACCCATTGGTATTTCCAGTTTACCAACTTCTTCAGTTCCAAATTTGAGATACGTGAAACAAAAACGAAAAATAGAGAACTGACTCTTAGTCCCAATTCCATTTTCAGAGTCACTTTATGTTTGTTTTATATATAATGTCCAAGGTTTTCAGTTTTACTCAGGGAAAAGTCTATCTCCCTAAAAGTGAAAATCAATCAACATTATTTTTATAAATTATAATGATGATGGTAATATGTATTGTATTAGTGATGTTCCACTCAATATATAATAGAAATTGTTCCTCATTAGAAAATTTAGGTCAGCTGGGCACTGTGGCTCATGCCGGTAATCCCAGCACTTTGGGAGGTCAAGACAGGCAG